GACAATGCACGAAGGTTGCACCTCCCGCTCCGACTTTCTGGATGATCGTACCCTAACCTGGGCGGCAAACTCGTCGTCAAGTCAACGGCATTCGATGGCATAAAACCTGCGCAGCTGTAATAGGCTCTGGAGGCGGCTCCAATTTATCCGAATTGCGTAAGGACGGGGTACATCCCAGGGTTTGGAGGGTCGCCAGGGTGACCTACAACCCGAAGACCGTTAAGGGCTTTCATGCTTCCCCTAAGAACTTTTGGCCCATCAATCAGTCTTCAATTATGCTAAAAACGCGGGCGAGACTGATTGACTTGCTTATAAGAAACGGGATTCCTCGTGACTATCTTTCCAAAGCTCAATATACTTATTGCAAGGGACGGGCAGTGGATACGACACTACAGACATTACCAAAGTCTATAGACGAATTTTATGCAGTAGGGGCCTTCCTCGACATCGGGGGTTCTTTTAACAATGTCGCGACGGAGATAATAGTCAAGTATCTTTATAAAGCGCAGGTTGAAACGAACCTAATAAGGCTCAGTTATAGCTTACTTCGCGGAAGAACTGTCGTGGCGGAATGGGAAAGTTATCATATACTCCGATAGCTAGGCGGCCAACGGAGCGCTGTACACTAAATATGGTGTAAGGAATGTCTGAATACTCTATCAACCGCGCGACGAGTACTTCCTAATCAAGCTCGTTTTGATGCCTGGCCACAGTGACATTGCGGATAGCAGCGTGGCTGACGACTTGCCAAGAAAAGGCACCCTTGAAGCGTTATCATAGGGTATAGAGCAGCCGGGGACGCTTGTGATCCCTTGCGGTTCAAAAGAGCTCCATATTAACGCGGTAAGATTGGGAATCTTACTGCATACCTTTTGTATTAGCTGTCAAGTGGATGATGAGGTGGAATCCTCTTAGCACTTTCTATTAGATTGAAACATTTTGACTGGCACTCCTTTCAAACCCTAAGGAGCTTTCAGTCATTGAGATTAATGGTACCCGTTCAGTATTCGTGGTATCACAAAGAACAATTTCTTACAGCGTCGTCAGAATGATTGGCGGAATTGAGGCTAGGGATGCCAATCTGGCATTCTCCATGCAAGTACACGCAGCCTACTCAACTGCCAGTTTCATCTTTGAGCGTCAAAGTATGTACCTTGTACTGGGCAGCCACTACAACGTAAAATAGGTACTGAACTTCTTGTAAGTGCGATATGAAAAAGAAAAGCCTACCCCGATTATCGCTGCATCCACACAAAACGTCATGCCTGAGGTCTGTAAACCATAGCATATGTAGTTAAAAACTGTTTCGAAATGGTTGCAAAAATAAATAGTTATTTAAGGGAGGTTATATGCACATGTGCCGGAGATAAGGCTAACATAACTGAAGAAGTAGAAATGACAGATATGTATAACAAAATGTGAATTGAATCAGTGCAGCAGCTAAAAGTTCAATTTATAGCTTTTACACTGACTACATATTTGATACACATATGTACATATTATTGGGAACACCATATATCGTTGATGTAAAACATGTGCAATGTGGTACACACAAAAGTACATACACATATGATCAGATGATATATAAAAATACTACATATCAGTCCCGTATCCGTGGCGAGCCCTAACTTACCGAGTCGCCTGTTTGTTCACTCGCGCCAGCTTGCTCTGACCGTGCACCGATACTGGCGCGCACATACATACATATGTAAGTATAGCATCCATCCGAACTTTATTTTTAGCCTATTCGCCGTTTTATTTAGAAATGCGCAAAATACACATTTTCGTAGAGACAATAAATAGACTCATTAAGTTGTACATATTTATATTTAGAATCTCTGTGAGAGTGATAGGTTGGAGGAGAGCTGGTTTATGAGCCAAAAATAATACAACGGCTGCCGAAGAAAGCCTTTGCTTTTAACATTGCTGTTGCTTGCCTCTAACTACATATTGCTGAGATGCCGTTGTCGATGGGTATGGTGGTGCTGGTTGGTATTGATGCAATTGCCTTGGAGGCTGAGGCTGAGACTTGGGATCAATATAAATAGTGTTGCTTTTGCTGTGCTTAACACCAACGCATTTTCTACGCATTTATTTCGCACGCTAGTTCAGATGCAATGAAATTGAATTAATGGAGTTTAGTCCTATGCCCATACAAACATACAAATATACCAAATGCATATGCTATTGAAGTAGATATTTTTATTTCAATATATTTTTAGAGAATTGTATAATAACAGATGTCCGAGCGAAATTAGCATTTACTATACCATTTTGAATGCCAAATTTATGTAAATCGGTTTTTGTAACAAAGTTGCATTAGTTTATAATGTAAATAAATAGATTTTATAGGAATTTATTGACATATGTGCATTAGACCGTACCAACTTACAGGCACACAAAAGAAAGCTCGCCGTCACCATTGAGTCTAAAGCTTTACCCAGAATTGCAGCGGACGACGGTAAAGCGGTCGTCGGTCAACCGCTGCAAAAATTAAAACGCACAAAGGCATACGGAATGGCTCATAATTGCGGCGGTTTCCCCTCGGCAGGCAATGGCAAACCTTCGAGTATATTTTGTAGGGCCCTGCCCTTTGTGTGACAACATCAGGGCGCACGCCTTATATTATTCAGGAAGATTTTGAATTTGCCGCTATTTGTGACGTGAAATTGGCAACTAAAAAATGGTTTATAGCTGATAGTTTAGGAATACATACTCAAAACGGAGCACTACGTGAGAGATCCAGCAAATTTGCTACTGGACTCTCACACCTGCTCTCGTCAGCAAATCGACATACGCGAGGACATACTTTTCCTGCTCAAGACGTATCTCTGCCGAAGAAGTAGTCGAATTTCAGCGAGCCCGAAAGAACAACAGGTCCGAGGAGAAAGGTCACTCCGCTGCAGAGAAAGAAGGTGCCGCTATTAAGCGAGACATATTTTCCGAAATACAAAAAGAGAGACCGAAATATGTAAGTGCGAAGAGCTTTAACATTGTGACCTACAGGAAAAGCGCCAGAAAATTTGCGGTTTGCGGAAGGTTTCAGAACTAACTACTGTAAGAACAACCACCAACAAGTGATCGATGCCCACAACATACTTAAACTATGGAGGGAACATTTCTTCTCCCTGTTTAATGGTAACAGCACCGAAAGCAGTGGAAAGATGAACCCGAGCTCCCAGTCAATGACGTTTCGGGGCCGAAGATTTGCTCAGTTTCAAAACACTTTGAATAAGGTATTTCACATTTGTTATTTAAAACAATTAAAAAAGTCCAAGTTCGGGCGAAGCCGAACATTAAATACCCGGCGCACGTATTAAATATAGTTTTTCACCTTTCCGAAAACTACCGCTACATGGTAAACAGGGTTGGATTTACCCAAATTTCAAACATCTTCGATAGTATGTTCAGCTAGACTTGGGGCCGTTTTCTGAAGTAACCTTTAACTTTAAAGCTCACTTTATATTTAAACGTTGGATTAAAAACTATTTAAAGGCTGGATTAAAAATAAAGCTATGTCCAAAGTTAAGCATTGCTATTATCGGTTTTTGAGGTATGTATGTTTCTGGGTTGCAAACCAATTTAAAACAGATAATAATATACTTAACTTTAGGCATCATCATAAATTTTAATGCAACCGTTAAATATAAAGTGAGCTTTAAAGTTACAGGTTACTTGAGAAAACGGCCCTTAATGAGATAAACTTATATAATAAGCGTCCTTAAATATCGAAATATCGAGGTTTCAGCATTTCTGAAATTTACCGTTATATGATAAGTGGCGTCCTGTTTTTATGTGGCAAGTACGATAATTAACCGAGTTTGGTACAAATTTATGGAACGGTTACCGAGCTACACGTATGTGGTCATAAGTGGGCGGTGCCACGCCCATTTTCCAAATATTTGTTATTGACGTACTTCTTGCTAAAGAATTATTGCGAACAACCATTTTAAATAAATTTGCTTCAGTAGTTACTGGTTTAACTCTTTAAACGCTAGTGTTACATATATGTACGCTCAAATTTCGTGGAGTAATTTTGTTGTTATTAAAATATTTATTACATAACAAAGATTCACGAGTGTTTCATATATGTTTCAGGTCTTACAGAGGTAGAAACTTTATATTATGGGTTTTTGAACATATCCTCTATTTTAGTGTCCTCCAACATTTGGTTCCTCTCAACTTCCTCTTTTGCTTTCGCGTTTAATGAGTTAAGTATCAATTATTTCGTATTTCTTTAAATTACCACTATATAAAATGTGGGCATGGTTATTGTCTGATTTTAAAGATTTTCAGCCGTTTGATATGTTTTACCAGGTCCAACAACTGCTAAAAATGTATATAAAATTATTATTTTATTATTTAGAGATAATTTTAGATATCAATTTTGAGTAAATAAGCTTCGCAGTTGTCGTATTTCTGAAAGCTACCGTTATATGGGAGGTAGGCGTGGTTATCGTCCGATTTTCAATACAATCCGTCCTACGCTCAAAGAAGTACGCGTACCAAGTTTCGTTACGATATCTCAATTCTTACTCGAATTATAGTGTGCAAAGACGAACGGAAAGACAGTCACGGCTTAGTCGATTTCTTTTTTCACTCTGAGCATTTATCTATATCTATCTTGATTCGTTTTGCCTCTTACAAACAACCGTTATGTAAAAAAGTTATAATACCCTTGTGCACAAATGTGCTCGGGTATAAAAACTCTTTGCAGGAAAAAAGCTTCCATGTATGTATAGGTATTTTATATAACTCTGAATTGACTCAAAATATTTTTGTGGGTAGCATAACCGGAATTTTCATAGCGGCACCTTAATATGTAAGTCATATCGCTAATTTATGTACTAAAAGAGAGTTACAACTCAAATAATATCAAAATGCAGAGAATAGAGATGCATATTTTCTCTTCATGCGAAAAAATCAAAATCTTTTTGAGATGAGAAATTGTTTTTTGTAAATAAGCAATATGGTGAAAAAGTGCATATTCAAATACATACCTCCAATATCTGTTGATCTATGTCTGTTGCGTTTGGTTGCATTGGCTTGTATTCAAGAGAAATTGTTCCCGATGTTATATGTAAATGTTCATCATTTCCGGCTTCGCGCGCAATATCTGCAAAAGAGTAAATATACAATGAAAAACACGGTAATGGGAGAGAAAAATTGTGAATCATATTTTTATCTACAACAATACATTTACATACATACATATGTATACTTGAATAAATGTTAATGATCCACAGAAAAACCACAAGAAAGAATGAATGAGCGAGCGTACAGAGTGATTTAATAAAATTTTGGATGTGTATTTTGTTTTGATATTTGGCAATCTTTTTTGACAACTACATAAAACTATAATGCAAATTATACGCAAGGGTTTACATACATACATACATATGTATGTAGATATTACGTATGCATACATATAATTACATATTTATAAAAATGAATGCATCAACTTTTCTTCGAATTATGACCAATGTACTATTTTTTGAGGTAACCATTTTTAAGTACCGCCATTAAAAATTAAAGTACAGTCAAGCAAGGATATGTGACACTTGAACAGATGTGAATCTTTTTTTTGCTCTTTAAAGTTGTTTTCTTAGTAAGCAGTGCATAAAAAAGTGCATTTTCTGTTGGCAAAGCGGATACTGCAATTTCTCAGACTGTAGGAGAGAAACAGGGATCGAGAACGCGTTCCAGTTTTGATTTAGTTCTGCATGAGAACAAAATATAATGTCAAGAACGTTGGCAAAAAAGAGCCAAATGGGAACAAAAGTATTGAGGGCAGTTTGGACGAGAACAAAATGAGAATAAAAGGTTCGGGAACGTTTCTGTAAAGAAAAAATGCGAACAAAACTCTCGGCAACGTTCTCACGAAGGCAAACTGAGAACGAAAGCATCGAAGACGTTTTCAAAGACGATCAAATATGACTGGGGAACGTTCTGCTGGGGAAGAAAACGAGAATAAAAGTTTTGAGAGCTTAATGTTAAGAATGAGAGGGGCGTGTTGGGATGAAAAATCGTTTCAGTGAGGACTATATTGAACTGAAAAAACTTTTCAGTGAGAACCAGAGGAAGGCAGGGTCATTTCAACTTCCAGGTCCTTTATGATTACGGTAAACTGTCCATTTATGGAACAATTTTTAATTTTCTGTGCATGAAAAGTTCGTGTCTTAAGTCTTTTGTTAACTTTATTTGCATAGTTATGTCTCAGTTCTTTTTTGATAAATTTTAATATTCAAATATCTGAAACTAAAATAACGCTATGAGAAAAATTTTGTTATCTTTTCCTTTCTTCTAGAATAGTTCAGAACAGATTTGTTCACGTTTCGTTCTCTGTCAGAAAGTTCCTGAAACTCAAGTTCCCAAACTGTTCTTCGAGAGAAAGTTTCTAAGACTTTTGTTCCCGTTTTGTTCTTTGCTCAAAACGTTCCGGAGACTTTTGTTCCCATTGTGTTCTTATATAATTCCCATTGAGAGCGTTCTCGACAGTTTTTTTTCTCGTTTCGGTTTTGGTTTTGATGCGTTTTTGGGAACAAAACTACGAGTACGAAATTTAGTTTCGATCATTCCTTATGTTCTCGGTCCCTGATGTACATCCATATGTATGTATATTAGACCGTACCGCAAAAAAAGCTCGCCAATACGAAACAAACATTGTTTTTTTTGGCCGAACGTGGGGACGCGTTTTTTACATTTTTCGTAATATCTTCGGTATCGGATTTTAAAGTATGATATATCGGGGTTCTTGTCTCGAGAAAACAATTTTTGTTTGTTCCAAATGTTTAGTGACCTCAATCATCCCGTCCTAGTACGTACCCACCAGATCTCAGTTCCTACCACCATGACATATCACCCTAATGTCAGTAAATTAAAGCTTGCCAAAAATCATTGAACTTTTGCTGTGGAAGTATTTCAATCCCAAGGCAATTTCAATTTTTTGCCGCATGTAGGTTGCTTATGTTCGGGCAAAGAAAAATTTTGAAATTGCCTTCCAAAAATACTTCAGACTCAGGGATGTATGTACTTCGAACTTTGTTTTGTTTGTTTGTAAGGTGGTACCGGTCTAATGCACACGCGTATGCACGTCGTCTATAATTCGTTTTTTAATTAGGTCATAATTACAAGAAATTATTCTTGAATACGTGAAAATTAAAATCGCGAGAAACGCGTAAAAACTTTCAGTATCAGAACCAATTTGCATGAAGTAATTTGGCGATTTCTTTCCTTGACCACAACGATAGGCTACCGTGAAGCATCATTCAATGTTAACAAAAGTTCGCAGTAAAGTGCAATTTAGTCACTGCATTTATTTTGAGTCACCGCATTTATAAAGGGTGTCCCATTTTAAATAACTTTTATCTACGTTTATGTAGTTTTTTTCTGTGTTATGGAAAAACAGCAATTTGCATTTTGGTAGAATCCTCATCATCAGACTTCTTCGCCGCCCAAGCCAGTAGTCATACCCACTGAGCAAAGTTCGTCACGTAAACTGTTGTTGCTTTATCCACTTTTTTCTATGTGTTAAGCCAACTACAATGAAGCACAGCTATTCCGCTGCTATTTACACGTATTATATGGTTTTTGTTTTTGTTGATTTTTGTTAATAATTCTATTTTTAGAATGTAAGCTATATCTTCTACCAACATGTAAATTGTTGTTTTTCCATATAATTGTTCATTAAACACGGCCTCGAGTTCAATAAAATTCTTGAATATATTTGTTATAACGCTATAAATAACAAAAACAAATAACTTAAGGACGCACACACCTTAAAGTTAAATATTCTAAAAATAGAATTGTTAACAAAAATCAACAAAAACAACAACCACGTGATCAAGTGTAAATAGCAACGGAATAGCTGCGCTTGATTGTAGCTGCCTTAACACATGGCAAAATTGGAAAAAGCAACAACAGTTTGCGTGGCGAACTTAGCTCAGTGGGTAGGCTCAACAAAATTGTTGAATTTTGTACATAAAATTTTTTTCAAAAGTGCTTTCCTTGACAGTAAAGTTACCTCTAACACCCTTTTAATACAAGGTTAAAGAATAACACTTAGAAAAAAAAAACAATACTAGAATTTAAGTAAAGATGAGTACGTGCATAGATAACAATAACAAAATTTGCATACTCTGAGAAAAGAGGCTAGTTACGTTAACTAAATATCGTAGGTACTTCTCAACACATGATTATAGTTACCAAATCTTGTGTTGCGCGAAATATATTTAGCTGACTCTTTTTTCAGTGTAAATAAATATTTCTGGTATCTGCATAAAACGCTTTGATTGATGCTACTGAGGCTCAAAATTTTCAAAACATCTTAAAGCTTGTAGCGTTTTAATCCATACTCGAATTCAAGACATTTCGGTTAAAGAGAACATATATATATACATATAAATGTAAGCTAACCGACCGTCCTCTTTTGAGGAGGATTGCCCTCCTCAAACGCGATTTGTCCTCCTCAAAAATATTGCCCTTCTCCGTGCTCCGTTTAATAAAAAATGTCACCCTTTTCAAGGTTTACAGCAGTGATGAAATTTTCAAAAAATTGTATTCAGATTATTATTACATATTTCCTAATCGTACACAATCATTGTATTTAAAAGGCGTTTACATTGTTCAACTTTCAGCTAAATGATGAAAACTTTTGATTCAACTAACCGCCTGTGAAAGTTGAACTGTGTAAACGCCTTCTTGTCTTATACTTCATTTCCACCAAGTCTTAACTGCAGCTTATGCCTATTGCGACAAGGAGATTACAACTCGAAGGAGGTAATTCCTCCTACTAATGACAAGCAAACGAAAGAAGAAAAGCAAACACTAAGAAATAAACCTTGCCGCTCACCCCATGTTGAAATTCTTGGAACTTATTTTAGCACTTAACTGCAGTTAAGCCTCTGGTGAAAATAGGCTATTAATCAATAATATTTAATATGGCTTTCCCACGAGACCCCAATTACGTAGTTCGCGCTCTCATTCGTCATTCGCCATCCAATTACCCTTCGAATTACGTAATTCGCTATACAAAATTTTGAGAGCGAATTACCTCATTTGATGGCAATTCAGATCCAATTACCATGCGAATTACGAACAAATTTTTATCGGAAATTTATCGAAACCAGTTCACAAATCACAACTGGCACTTTTTCTGAGCACGAAAAGTAAAGTTTATACATGTGTCCACCAGCAATTTAATACGGAAGCTTATAAATTTTTAGCAATAACTTACATTTTGCATAAATTTTGAAGCGAAGAAAAAAAAAAGAAAATTATTTTTTTTTTGTTTGTTTTAATTTGGCCAATATCAACTTTTTTAACGAAAAGTTTTTGCGACTATTTAAACAGCAGTATATTTTTAACACAAGGCTTCGATTCCACCCTTTTATCGTTCCTAAGAACAAAATCTTGCGAAATTATACTAGCACCGGTTTATTGTTTACACACTTACGGTCTGCTATGTAATTTTTTCTAATTTGTTTATTTTGCCACTTTTGTTGCTATACACATTTTCTATGTAGTATTAATGCAAACGTGCACTTAATTCATATACAGTACCAGCCACTTGCATAGCGCAGCTGTTTGATCCTCGATATTGACAATTTTTCTTTTGTTTATTTAATAACCATTACCTTTTTTAAAAATATAGCATACTCTAAAAAAAATACAATGAAAATCCGATTTTATAAAAAATTTGCGCCTGGGCCGCGCTATCGAAGTAAAACTTCTCTTGAGCTATTTGCATAGTTCTGAAAGCTGTATGTTTCGATGTGCTAAGCTTGATATAACATAAGACTGAATTGAGTGATTTTAAATTGATCAAATCACAAATTGAGGTGAGTTGAAATGAGGCGAGTTGAAGTGAGGCGAGTTGAAGTGAGGCGAGTTAAGTTGAGGTGAAGAGCATTGAGGGCGTGATTTTAGGCGAGGTGAGATGAAGTGAGGTAAGGTAAGTTGAAGTGGGATGAAGTGAGCAGGGTTAGAACTACGGCAAGCGTAAATCGGAGTAAATGAAATGAAAAAGCGGAGCAGAAAATAAAATTCCGTAGTAGATATTTTTCATGTATATTGGCTCGTAATAATTCGCTTTTTTAGTTAAAAATAAATAAAATAATGCATAACAGTAGCCTATAACCGCGTCATGCAACTATACTACATATTTAGCATCTATTAAATAATAACAACACAAAATTTTTCCATATTTCTTATACAACATTCTAAGCTCTTTTTTTTGGTGAACGTTGTTAGTTCAATTATGTTTTGAAAATAGGACTCCTGAAGGGTCCAAAAAAATTATTCGTCGGATAATTTTAGGGAGTCCTTGAACAAATGAAGCACCAAAAATTTAAAATAAGATGTGTTTGATGACAAAGATATATGTATTTCTAGGTCAATAAAAATCAGAAACTTAGTAGGCCAATGTCTCAAAAAAATCACGTGATAGAACTAAACTGACAATACATTCCATCTACATTTGAATACTATTTCATGGCCTTATACACTGCCGGAAAAAGTATTGGCACAGCAAATTTTTCACAAAAAGATTTGCAAAAATTTTTATTCTAGTATTTTTCCTCCAATTTCGTATAGGAATGTGGTACATTCCAAAACAAAAAACATAAAAATATAATTCCAAAACTTTGTGCAAAACTCGCAGAAATTCAGCAATTTTCATGCAATTTTTCAACTTTTTAATCAGATTTTTTAGATTTTTTTTAAATATGCAGATTTTTAGGCTTGATGAGGAAATGTTGTGATCTATGAAATAGCTATCACTATTTTTTTCAAATTGTTGTAGCTTTTCCACAATAGTTTTTCATTAAAAACGACCACATAAATTTTAAAAGCTACTTTAGAAACAGTTCTAAGACAATTTTCTCAGTTCAAATACTGCAATAAGTGCTCTTTATTATTTGGGAAAGAAAACCGAAGTAGATTTTGGGTAAAGCGGAGTAGCGTAGTAAATTTCTAAATTCTGTCAAAAATCGGAGCAAATCTACTACGATCGTAGTGAGAACTAACTCTGGAAGTGAGTTTGAACTGAGGGGAGTTGCAGTGGCTTAAGGTGAGTTGAAAAAGAGATGAGATTAGGTGAGGTAACGTGAGGTGAGTAACATAACATAATATAACACATCTTAAGCACTGGTTATACGTACATTGTACTGCAGCGCATAACATGAGATTGTCACATATCGAATCTGTTTAATGAGTTTTGCATAAAAGCGATTATCCGACGCAGCGCATGGCAGGGCACGACCTCAAAGTCTATGTGACATTTTCAGAGAGAGGTGCCACTCTCATTTCTCTGATTGGTCTGTTCCAGTACCCATCAGATTTACATGAATTACTGAGAAGTCGTTCTTATACATACATTGGATCATATTTATATACGAAACAAAGTCGATTACAAAGCTAGTAGCCGCAATTACATTGAAAATTATGACAAAAAGCAGCAACTAGATTTAGGCTATGAATACGCATTCTTCAGTTACGTCTGCCTAACTATATCCTGGAGTACTGGAACAGGCTAACTGATTACACTGAACAACTGATTCTGAGAGATTATGCGCTCTATGCGGAGCATAATTATTTACACCCCTGCTTCACATGCGCTACTTTTCTATACTCTGCTTTGCAATGTAAGTATAACCTGCGTTTTATGGCAACTTAACGTAACTTACTTAAACATTCTCTTAACGTAACTTAATGCCACGTCGAATCTGTTTCATTTTTATTTTCTAAGTTCTACGTTCCGTAAAGTTAAGTTGCCACAATCAGGCTTTTAATCTGAATCAGCGTTATCTTTATATAGATATAGTTTTTATCTCAATCTCCCTCTCTATCTGTTATTATCTTTATCTCTATCCATTTCCTTATCTTTTATCCTTACCTTTATCTTTATATACATATTTATTCATACACATTTGAATTTGTCTTAAAATTTATTTTGTTTTTATGATTTTCTTCGCCTACTTATGGTCCAAAAATAAACAGGGAAATAAATTTTTTGAAATTTTCATGCAGCCATCGCCAGAATTATAGAAAATTGAAAAAAATGAGACCCATATTTTTTTATTTTGAAATTGGTTAATATTTAACCGTGCCGCCGAGGCTTTGAAGTTTTTTATGTATTTTATAGCGGGAAATAAATTGATATAAAAATTTTAAACATAAATATTTTGTGATGGAATAAAAATATTTCACTTCAGAAAAAATTTGGACCACCCTAATATTCACTTTCACTTTTGCCTTTATATTAAGTCTTTAATGACTACGCCTTTCCGTTAACTAAACATTCAACCTGAAACTAAATTGTGAACAACTTATTTTCACACGGATTGAAAACAAACTGAAGGATAAGTTTTTTTATAAGAGCTACCTTAATTTACATGTATGTATGTTCGAATGTAACGGGGCGTCTCCACAGGCAAAAGTTTTTATCTTGATAATGTTATCAGGCAATATTTTTCCAAGGAGACCGCATATTGCTCACGACGTGCAATTATTATCAGAGTTTTTTTCTTGACAAATATTGCCGGCAATTCGGTGGTTGGACAGCTACATTTTCACTTGCGCGTAAGCTTCGTGACGGCAACATTAATGATATAAAAGCAAAAAATTTAGCTGTTTTCTATTGAAATATGTATTTGTTATTATTATTTTCAAAATTGTTTAAATGATTAAATCCGCAAGAGATACTTGTTAGAAGACATCTTACAAATGATTTTATCAAGATAAAAAACGCCTACGTACAAATATTACCTTTGAGAAAATTTTTATCAGGCAATAAAAATGACAGTTGGTAGGCAATAATTTTTGCCTGTAGAGTCGCGAAGTTAGGTTCTAAAGAAACGGCGGGCCTACATAATTTCAAAGTTTTTAAAATTATATTTCTGACGCAATATTTTCGGCGCTTGGATATTTGCACATGTAAATATGTGTGTTTGCGGGTAAACACATACATATACATACATACTTGTTTAAGCGATAACTTATTTACATATGTAATTTATTTTGTTTTCTAATCAAAGTTTTATATAAACATGGTATGTACCTGTAAAACATGGTAATGCCGCCATTAGCACTTCAACTAGTTTTTAATTAAATGCAAACACTATTGAGACACATTTTTTAGAGGTTATATACATATCAACACATGTCGAATGTTTAGAGATTATTTTTAGATTTGTTCACTTTATTTACAAATTTAGAATTTTTCCACGAATTAAAACATTTGCCCGTTTGATATACATACATATGTAACTATATATGTACACATGTTGTATGTAGGTAAGGATGTAAGTAAATGTGTGCCTATGTAAATTTTAGTGGTTAATACAAAAAATTGAATAAGTAGATGAGTACATATGTACATATCTATGTATGTAAATGTCAGCACATAATTATTTAAATGATTATTACAAAAGCAAATAAAAAAAAATCCAAATAAACGAAGTCACACTTAATTTCACTAGATTTTGTTTTATGAAATACCTACATATGTGCATACTTGAACTTATACATTTATGTATGCATATTTCATATATACATACATGGGCGTGTATATACTTTTGTTGTATTGCTGATAATACATATTATGCTATGTAATCAAAATTTAAATGATGAGTGCGAGTCGTTGAATTCAATTAAATATATTTTTCTCCTTTAAGTTTGCTTTATAATTGTTGTTTGTTTATTTCAGTTTTATTTCACATCACTTTTCGAAATACACAATTAATTTTTTGTATTTTGTATATTTATTGCGTTTCGATTCCGAGTGACCGACAAATTCGTAGCTTGGCCGCCAACTAAATGTGACTGTTCCGAGCGCGAGCAAAAATGCGAATAAAAGCAATGTGCTTTATCAATTTCATTAAACAGCGAGTACCCGACTCGCACATTACTGTATGTATGTATATATATTTCATATAATACATAGTACATATGTAGATACATATATTATTTGTACATATGTATGTACAGTGACTCAAAAAAGTGTTCACATGTTGATTGTTTTGATTATTCGCTATTTTTTTTCAAATTAAATTTTTTTGTTATTATTTTATAAAACTTTTTATGTTTATACGAACCGAAATTTCAAACTTAATACAAAACTTAGAAAAATTCTTTCATGAAGTTTTATAACCGCGTTGAGGTTTAATTTTTTTTTGCTGACGACTTTTGTATTTGTTTTTTACATAAACTTTTTTATGAATGGTATTGCGTATTTTATTTCATAAAAAATTCATAGTTTTATAGAAAAGTAAAAAAAAAGTATAATTTTTAAACAAAAAAACTAAACTGACTTCATTTCTCATAAAAACATTTACGAATACCTTTATTTTCTTTATGATCAAATGATACGATCTAAGCTACATTAGTATGGATCCACCTCTCTGTTAACGTGGCCCAAAGTTATGCGGTAACACACAAAAATAAAAACATTTTTTTGAAAGCGGTTAAAAATCAGGCAATTTTCCATGGGCCGTAAAACTGCATGCACAAAAATGTTCTAAGGAATCTGATAAAAGCTCAAAATTTTGATGAAAATTTGTTGAATTTTTTCAATTTTTTTTTATGAAATTGAAACTTCGATTTATAAGGTTCTGTTTAAAGCATAAACCATATTTTTTTGATAAAAAGTAAAAAAAGAAATCCCTTGAAAACCATTGTGAACATTAAAAAAACTAACGCGTGAACACTTGTTTGAGTCCCTGTTAATACTAGGGACTCAAATGTTGTATATAAGAAGTTTTTAAAAACAAAATTTTCGCGTAAGTGTCTCGGTTTTCGCGGTTGTTTGTTATTGGCCGCATGCGTTTATTTTGCTCTCAGAGCCTCATCCGGCGCATGTGTGTTTGTGCAAAAAAAATCGGACGGAGCCACTCGTGAATGTACAAATTCTCTTTCTGATAACTATTAGATTGTCAGATTGAATGTCTCACCCTGTCATCCTGAGACACTTTATTATGCTAAAATATGTGCTATGTAGATTAAAGTGCGCAAATAAATAAACGATAAGTGTTTGGTCTAGTTATTTTTCCAACTTGTAGGACCTACTCGCCCTTTATCCCGACTATCAGAAGGTAGTACATATACATATTTATGTATGTTGCGATTTTCAAGAATATGTTTCGTGGCCGAATTATACTCGGCGGCAGAGACCGTAACTGTTAGGTTTTTGTTACAAAAAAATCTATAAATAATCCTTATTTTTTCATCGATATGTTTTCGGTCAAAAATTAAGAGTTAATATTTGACTTTTTTTTGGTCAAAAATAACGGTTAACATTTGACTTCTTTTCCGTTAGAAATAACGGTTAATATTTGACTTTTGTTTGCTTAATCAAAAATAATAGTTAAAATTTTACTTTATTTTATTCTATCTTTTGACACAAACTAGTGGGCGGCGGCCTGCGAGTGTATCCCTTAGATGAACCACAGAAAGCCAGCCTAAGTTATAACTCTTCAAGATGATGTGCTCGGTGTGCAAAGCCGGTATGTATGACCTCTTAGGCGTTGAGCGTAAATAAAAAACTCAGACAGTCTGGATAATGGCTTTGTCCGGCGACAATATATAGATAGATATAAATGGAGTAGGCACTGCGACTAGCAGGTCTATTGTGCCCTGATCTCATCACAATACTGCATCTAGCCCTAAAGACTTTAAAATTTTTAGAATATAGGCTATGGGAAGGGAGTTTATGTGGCATTTTGACCAGGTTTGGTTATTTTTCTTTTGTTTATTTAATGTTTATAATTTTTTTATAAAACTATAGTGCATTACATAAACAGCATCACATAAATCCACATTTCAAACTTCTTACAAAAATTATAAAAATTCAACAAACTTTAACAATTACACCCAAAAATTTTAAACTTTTTAATAAAAATTATTAGAAAAATTTTAGATATGCAGTTTTATAGCATAATATGAGTCATTCCATACAATATTTACACCATAATATTTTTTTTGGGGTGAAAAATATTTTTTTACATTCTTTATCGAAAAAAAGAAGATAACAATTTTTTTATTTCGTCATGATATTCGAAAATCTCGAAAAAAAATCCCGAAATTTCACGGAGAAGAATGCGATTTTTTAATGCAAATTTTTTATTTTATTTTATTTTATCTTACACTCTCATGGAAAGCCGAGGTAATTACGGACATTTTGACACCTTAACTGATTTTCTTCGACAAATAGTTAATTAACTGCAAACAATTAAAAAAAAGATACTTCTCCGTGAGTTCAAAATTTCGGGAATTTTTTTTCGAGATTTTCAAATATCATGACGAAATAAAAAAGTAAGTGTCTTCTTTTTTCGATAAAGAATGTAAAAAAATATATTTCACCACAAAAAAAGTATTGAGGTGTAGATATTATATGGAATGACCCATATGTATGTACGTCTGTTTCTTTGAACACACGGTTGTGGGCGTTTCACATTAATTGCATGATTCTTAGAATGCTGCCTCATTATTGATACCATATTCATGTACTTAGTCAAAATAAAAATATGTACATATGTATGTACATTAGACTGCATCACCAAAAAATGTTGCTGTTTTTCCGCCGGGATTACAAAATTTATTATATTTTAAGACGTCCACCAAAATATTTCGGAAAAATATTAAGATTTAAGCGAGCTGGACCGATTTGAAAATACCTCCAAAAATGGAGTTTTTTATGAATAAAAATATGTAGTTTCCTAAAAAAAACTTTTTGAAAAAAGTCACCTCAGATGACTAAACGGATTAGGTTTTAAAAATCTGCATACAAATATTTAAAAATCTTTTCAACGGAATCGTAATATTGAGAATTTGATGCTGTTTTTTTACTGTTTTTTACGAAAAACTTAAATAACTGGATCAAAACTATTCTGATTTAGACTTCTGGGATCTCGGTAGAAAGGTATTTCCCCATTCTTTTTATTTGTGTACAAAAAAAGGCATTCGTGTTCCATTTTTTTTTCAAATACCAACACATATTAATTCAACTTTGAATGATGTTCGTCCATCCTACCTTTCTCTTTCATCCTTTGAATGAGCTTATTAGCAAAGAAATAAAAAGGGTGAGAAAATACCTTTCCACCGATTCCTCTTAAGTCTAAATCAGAAGAGTTTAGGTTCAGTTATTCAAGTTTTTCTTATACCAATCTTGGAAAAAATTTAAAAAACGGCATCAAAAATCTCATTCCGTTGAACATTTTTTTATTTTATTTTTATATTTTTATGTAAATTTTTTAAGCTTAAACCGTTTTGTCAATTGAGGGAACTTTTTCAAAAAACATCTTTAAGAAACTACATATTTTTATTTACAAAAAACTCCATTTTTGGCGGTGTTTTCAAATCGGCCCAGCTCGCTTAAATCTTAATATTTTTCCGAAATATTTTGGTGGAGGTCTTAAAATATAATAGATTTTATAATTCCAATGGAAAAACAGTACCGTTTTTTTTGTTTTTGTATGGGGAGTGATGCAGTCTAATGTACATTATAGTGGTCCAAACAAATTTTTTTTTTTTGAGATAGGGTTTGGGGCACCTTGCAAAATTTTTACTCTTGCCGAAAGAAGTGCTGGTACCAAACTATACGTTTCTAAGTATAAATTTAGAGGATTCTCATGATGTTCATATTTTACTCTAGAAGTATTGTGTATATATTTTAATCAAATAATTGGTAGAGCAACCTACAACATTTCAAGTTTAAGTTATATATTAAAATATAACAAGTCTCAGTTGTCATGGCAACAGTTTTATAAGAATCACCAATATTTTTGCCAGTTTCACAGCGCTGCAGTAGCGCATTTCAAGGTCATCGAGCACCCTGTATTGTGGTTACAGTAGAAAATTGAAAGTTAGTATAGATATTACAAATATCAAAAGGAAAAAACTAAGGGGGCGCCCCATTTTCTAGGATGAAAGTTTTTCTCCACACAAAAATTGGACCACTCTAACATACATATGAGGGCTGTGAACTTATTTATTTCCTTATTCCATTGGTCGAAACTACAGAAAACATCTGCCCTTTAAATTAAAATTTTCAACTCTTGCATTATACGTAGGTATGTACATATGTGTAACTTACTCGCATGTATGCATGTATGTACATTCATAAGTACAAAATTTAATTCTATTTTCTACTTATCAGCTTTTCATTCTACGATTGTATAAAGTGAAATTGAATTAAGTCGAAGGAGAAATAAATAAAAAAAAATCAGTTACGATATATGTAAATATGTACGTAAGCATACACATACCTATTATGTGTGTATGTATGTACATATGTTCGTGCGTATACATACATACATATGTATATATGTATGTGTTAACATTGTTGGGTGTTTGAATGGGCCGTGACCTGCTGTTCTATTTTTAGACTTGCTTATAAATCGTGCATAGCTGCGGATAGTATATTTAGAAACAGAAACAAGTAATTAAAACAACAAAAAACAGCGAAACACCACTGCTGTCGTATGTATAAAAAGCAAAATATACGCGATTACATATGCAATTATGTATAGAACTTATTTACATTGGAATACGTACTCAAATGTATATACATATATATATATGTAGATATGTATATACGTACATATATATATGCGTATATAACCAATTACATATGAACATATATATTCATACATATACTCTGCATATACTATAGCGAATACTCTGAGAGCATCTATATAGCTAAAGAGCAAATTTTTAAATGTACAGAGAATAATATACTCGTAACCAGGGATGCCAACTCTAGTTCCCCCAAATTCCTGGAAAAATTTCCCTATTTTCAATGGTATTCCTCCAAAATAAGTTTTACTATTTA